CAAAGTAGTTTTTAACTGCATATTGGTTATAACGATCCAAAAATTCTGAAATTTTTTTCGAGTGTATTTTTTCATTCACTTATAATAGTAATCTTAAGACTAAACCAAAACAAAGACACAATCGCAAAACTAAATAATACAACATGAAAGAGAATCCAACAACAAATCATTCAGAGAAAACAACTAACTATGAACTACAAATATTGTTGGTTCGGGGAATCCTTTATAAGACCACCCAGCCGCCACATCATCTAAATAAGGTTTTCGAAATAATTGAAGGAAAAGTTTTTCTATGAAAACATATTGACGACAATTTCACTCATTTACACATCCGAATGTACAAACTGTACATACACACATACGTATGTGTTTGTATGTGCGAACTCGAACATGCTTCAAAGATGTTCGGGCAGAATAACTTTATACCCCATTTCCGTTACCACACGCCCAACAAAACTTTCCTGTTCAAATAAGAGTTTTATGAAGTTGTTTTCACAACATTGTTTGACATTCTATGGCAACATTTTGAAAACTTCTTTTGAAATATTGCGGCTTGAGAGGGTGTAATTCGTAGGGTTTTGGGGGCAACGAATTGGTCTTAAGTGCATTGCCTGTAGTCGAGATAGTTCAGCTGATCTCAGCTCCCCTACGAAAATTGTCTCAATTTAATAAGATAAGCCACTACCTTCCCGTGTGCAGGGTGCAGCCACGCTTTTTGTTTTTAAGGTATTAACTTGGCCTGATGATTACGATGACAATGACAATCTCCGGAATGGTTGTTTGGGCTTTAAACTTTCATTATTTTTAATTAATAAGTTACGCACTTATGTTTGCCGGTGTGTGTGTATGCGTGTAAGTGTACTTAACATTTTAAATGAATTAGTGTGATTATTATGTTGTTTAATTAAACGTAAAGTTAGTAATTGTGTATTATGTTGCGTAAGTTTGTTGTCATATTTTTTGGAATTATTTAAAGAATACGAAGATGTTTGAAGATGTATGGAAAGTAAAAATTTAGTAACCAGAGTATACCCCTTATCGATATCTCCAGATTTCTGGTGAGGATTACGAAGGCAATGACAAAAAAATTAGCTTTATTGAAAAATGTCTGCGAGGAATTTACCATCTAACATGGTATAATAAGAAGAGTAGTCTCATTTTTATTTCCGCCTTAGATAGGTAAGTGTCTACTGCTTATGGCAAAATAATAATCTTTTCGTACACTTACATTTTTCGAAAGATCTAAAACCAAAAAAGAGAATTATATGGGGCGTTGGTATTTATAAAGTCCATTTTCGAACCTAGTGGCACATTTTACAACAATATGCTTGGAAGCAAGAGTGAATAAAAGAGAAAGATGGACACGCAACCATGAATTATGGATTTCATGAAAACACAATCACACGATTTACATATCCAGAATCAAATATGGGTTCGTTGTTTATATAATATTATTAACATATACAACAAGAGGTTTTATCGTTGACAAATGACTTTCAATGTGCTGCCTTTAGATTTTCTCATTGAAAACTTCAAAACAATAAGATCATTCGGATTATATAGATTAAGACATTATATAAATATCACGAAAATTGTTATATAGTATTGGAGTATATTTAATTATCTTCAAATATGTCATTTGTCGTACGTAAATGGTTACGGTTTCAAATTCAAACATCATCGATTTAGCAAATGAGACTAACTTCAATAATTACGCCATGACCATCTACGAATTCGAATTAAGAAATTATAGTATTATATTTATAGTTATTTTAAAACATGAGATGTTTCTGGAAAAAATATATGAAAGCATGATAACTTTCAAGGAATCCGGGATAACAAATTACAACCACCTCGGAGCCAAAACATAAAAATACCGAAAATTGGTCGGGTCCTTGTTTATGTGGGTCGGGCCCTTCTTTACTTTGATCCTACATCGAAAATTACAACAACATCCGTTGGTAAATACAAAATAATAAAAATTATGCGGAACCTGTATTTGAGGACTATGTCCAAACATAAACATTATCCGACCCTACAAAAATCCAGAGAATGCGCCTAAAACCTTTAAAATAAGGAAATTTTTTCTGCGCATATGCCATTCTCCATAACCCCACAAAACCGGTTTCAAAGTTTCAAATAGTAGTCAATTTGATGAAAAAAAAAACATGTCCTACGTCCCCAAAATTCTGTTTTCTAGGACCTACCCTGAAACATAGACCCTCATTGATAATTTTGGTAGGGAAATTTATACCTAATGAGAATTCAAAATATCAAATTAAACTCCTTGTACATTAGAACTTTTTACCGGGGTTAACCTACTTTATGAGGATTTATTTGACATATATGGAAAGGAAATGGCAATTGAAACCCACTGGGTTAACGAAATCCGGTTAAATGTAAACGTACTGTTACAGCCAATTCTACAAATTTGTCTTAATAAAATTTTTAGCACTTTTATTTTACACTTTTTAAAATTTTTTAAACAAAAATCCACTAAATGCCGAAAATGGGGGGTACTGGTATTTGGGAGCTATAACGAGGGCCAATCCCGTTGAAAATCATGCCCAAAGTCCACAAAATGTCGAAAAATAGTGAATACCATTGTATGAAGCATACCTAATGAGTCTGGACCTTAGTATTAAAGACTTTTCTGGAAAATTTTACGCATACTAAATTTACATTGTATTGAATTTAATAAACCCAGTAAATCTAAATAATCATTTATATTGTATATATGCCAAATAAATTCTCATTGAAGAGGTTAAATGACATTTACATTAGAACTTTTTAACGGGCTAACCTACTTTATGAGGATTTATTTGGCATATATTTAAAGAAATTGACAATTTAAACCCACTGGGTTAACTAAATTTGGTATAATGTAAACCTACTATTAACCCATAAAAAAGTTCTAATAAACATGTCGTTTAATTTGCCAATACAAATATAATGTTCCAAATTGGGTCATGATATAAACAATATTTACAAGGGTTAATAATATTAAACTGAAACATTCATTCGTATTTATGGAAAAAGTGAAGCCAATTAGGACTCCTTAAGTGTGAAGAATATCCGTTTTCCGGTACAGGGCGTGTTAAGAATTTCACAACAATTGATGAAATCTCAAAAATCATAGACATAAAATAAAAAGGGATTAACATGCCCGAAGCTTAGAGCGGACACAGATGATAATGGCAATGATGTGTTTTTGCGCCTGCAGCTGTTCCCAGATTTCTAACACATACCCACACACACAAAATAGATCTAACATCCTCCCAGTGCTAATGGAATTTTGACCCGAAGCATTAAAGCAACAGCATTAGAGGAAAAACATGAAACTTTGTTCGCATAACATTATCTATGTGCTGAATTAAGAAATCATACCACTATCTGTTGGAGGAGAAGATGGTGGTGGTATGCCATCATCGTCACATTTTCCTCATCTCCGTCATTGGCATCATAACCATCATCGCCGTCATCATCATCATCATCTTCCCCGTTCAGAAAACATTTCCGTTACACTAATATAACAATTTCTTATTAACAACGACATCAACAATTTCAGGACGATGACTGCCATTGAGCTTCTTAACTGTCTACATTATCCCCTCTGCCTGTCTGTCTGTGAATTGGATTGATGAAAACGGGAAAGGGGAACATTGTGAGCACCTGTTTAATTGCACTAATGATACAAAAGTTCACATTGGGTTCCGCTTCATGTTTGTTTTCAGGTTTCCATTTTTTCGGGAGCCATTTTTAAGTGCAACATACGCAACGACACACGGTTGGGCGGAAGATGCCCGCCATCGTTAGAAGGAAACAAAATAATTAAACAATCTGAAAGATCCAAAGAGGTGGAGTTCAAAGGTGTTCTACATGAAAGCCATAAAACGTGTTTTATATTCAGCTGCTTTCAGCTAAGTGCTAAAGACTGAACGCTTCTTGATGATTTTATTGCTGCAAATAAATGAAAGTGAAGACTCGGCGATGTGAAGCGACTTGATAATGCTTGAGAGCAACAGCAATTGCCGGTAATTATGTTAATTCACTTGATGTACAGGAAGTGTTTTATAGTCATACTTAGTTACAGTGGCTCTTTAGAGACACGCGGACGGACAGACGGATGTAAATGTCTGGACGAAGATGTTATTAAATATAATGGTTTATGATTAAAGGACATAAACGCGTAAAACATATTTATTTTATTATCTTAATGTCAGTCGGGTAGTATGACCCTAAAACATTGTGGAGATCATTTTCTCGAATTGTTGGAATTACCAAGGGTCACACTATGGCAAAGAAATTAGAAAAACTTTGTGAACCAATTTCAATTTTAGTTTTTATGCCCTACATCAAACAGAGTATGATATCCTTGTGCTTTATATATTTTTATAGGTTTCCAAAAATTTTGGGATTTACAAATGTCGGCTGAAGAAGAACTTGTAATCATTTATAATTGCCTATAATTTAGTATATTGAATTATAATTGAGTAGCAAATCTGCCTACAAAAAAAATCGTAATATTTGTCCTCTTTTGAAAATATGTATCGTGGGTATATAAGCGCATTTTTAACCGAAATTTGGTAACATAGATTAAATTTTCCTAGCAAAAAAATTAAAGGTGGCCATTTATGATGTTCCTGTTATTTTTTGGAGTTACAAAGGATATCACTGTTGGTGCGTAGGATTGGGATATACAGGAAATTTTGGAAATTTTTACTAAAGTGTACTGGGATTCTCAAATTTAGAGGATCATTGTATGGGTGTAGGATCGGGATATGTGATCTGTATTTTTATATTAGTTCAAACTTAAATAAGTATTACCCGCCAGATATAAAGATAAACGTTTATCATCAATTACTTGTAGCAAACATTCAAAGTATAATACATATTTTATTGCTGACATTTTCACAATTAATAAAATAATTATTTAAAAAAATTATTACTTAGAACCATAATGACTCTTATATATGACCGACAGTTTTTAAAATCAAACTCTAAATAATATTACTATTAAACTTATGCATTTCAATCCCATTCAGAGCTGTCTCATTTAACCAACCAAATGTCCATTTCATCCTTGGATTTAATTTATCACAAGCATTCGCGACGACGATTTTCTCATTGTCGTTGACAAAGGCTTCCAGACAAAACTTTCGATTAACACCATGTCTTATCATTTCATGCTCCCGATCATAGGACCAATATTGATTTCCTCCCTTGTTGTGACATGACCACATCCACACCGTGGCATTCTCATGTGAATTCATTACATCCCAGCAAATGTCTCTATCGCCCGAGTTCTTTCGTATATCATGGAAATGACTCAACGCCCAGAACTGATTATCCTGCGGATGTGTTTTATTCGAAGCACAGGTGAACAGACCTATTGCACTATTCACACCATTATTCATGGAATCAATACAGTATGTGGGGAAAGCCAAACTCTGAATAACACCCGAGGCATAGTTGGGTGGCAGTACAGGAGGGTACTGCTCTAGTAGATCGGGTGCGATATTTTCTAAAAACCATTTGAATGATTTGCATTTCAAATGTTCACGAATTGCAATTTGATTGGTCAAGTCACCAGGATCGATGGCAGCGGCATCCGGAAGACGTTCGTAGATATATTGTTTATATTCATCCAACCACACTTCAGCAACACGCTTGTGGTTCTGAAAACAATTGAAATAAAAAGTTATGCCAATTTCTTTGATATACAATACATATACTTACCCTTGCCACAAAGCTATAATTTCTAGGACTCGGCCTCGGTGTCATCGGACCACGGAATATATGTGCCACACGAGAACATGGAACATCAATCAGCAGGCCACCACACATCCATATTTTGAAACTCAATTCATATTGCTCTGCTCCCCAGATATCAAGACCCTCATCATAGCCACCTACTTCCCAAAAGAATTCTCTCCCAATGGCAAATAGACCACCCATCATAATTGGATTACGATATGGCTGAGTTTTATCCACCGCATCCACTTCCAACACCGGCATTTGTTTGTATTTAAAATTCCAATCGAATGCTCCCCTTGATCCCTCCTGATATCCTCCGCTGTAGGCAAATGTGCCATGATCGATGCTATCGATAATGGGACAAGTGGAGATGCGTTTATTCATGGCTATGGGCTCCAACAACGGTGGCAACCAATTGTAATTACACTCGATGTGAGAATCGAAAAACACCAAAACATCTCCGGTCGCACTACGAGCACCAGCCAGTCGGGCACCTATCAAACCTGTTCTCTCTCGCAGTCGTACAATTTTCACCAAGCCATGAAAGTAATTGGCCACATAATCGTCCAATTGTTGTTTTAAATATTCGCGATCACTGAAATCATCCACAATGATAATTTCGTGTAAGAGTTCAGGAGGTGTGCGATTTTTGATGCTATACAGGGTTCGGATTAGCACACTAAAGTATTCGTTATAGAACGGGATTACCACACTTGTCGTTGGCAAATGGATCAGATATTGTCGGTGGCGGCATCTGTAAGTATATATGTAGATTTTAAATTTGTTGGTGCCAAGTAATAGAAGTATAATTTGTCGGAGTCAAAATAAAAATAGGCATCGTCCAAATAAATGCAAATTGAAATTGATAGTTGTATTATTCAACAAAGAGAGAAAAGCTACTTGATGTTGCCTAACATAGTCATACCATTGTTTAAACAATAATAAAATTTCTTTCCGAAGAAATTTCTATCAAAGAATGGTGGTACTATTGATGCAAAATTAGCGGGATATTTATTAGATTGCACAAAATTTGGTAAAAACGTTGTTAATTTCGGCCAGACGATTTATTGTATTATGTAATAAAAGTTTGTTCGTTCTCAGCAAAAATTATGTTTCAAATTACAGACACTCAGGTTGGAAAATGCGGGGAAAATACTACTAAAACCTAAAAAATTAGGAAAATGAACGAGACCTTTATGTGGGCCTTATATCAAAACATAGGCCAATGTAGACAATTTTCCGCAAAATTATAGTCACTTCGATGAGAACATTTTATTAAAACCGTTAAAATACTGGCAATGGGGCGATGTTCTTATATAGGGGATATTTAAAAAAATTAAATATTTTGCTAATTTTCTGTATATACATATGCTTTATATCATATTACTGCCACATCGCACTATAGGTAATTTTCCCTGTTTTTGAAGCAAAAATTAATAACAGCGGTTTTAAACGATTTTTTGACTTTTTAAATGATGCATATGTACAAGAAAGAGAAAACGCAGATTTCCACAGTAAAAACCGGATATAACGAACAACGGTTATAAGCAACTACACATATAACGAACAAAGCTAATTCTTTCTCAGGCATTTTCATTAGTTGTCTTATACACAACAAACCGTTGAAAACGATTAGGGTAGTAAGTTAAGAAAAATTTGGACCCCGCGATTAGATTTTTAAAGGAATAATTATTACAATGTCGTATGTTTTTGCATTAATAACGATTAATACAGTACCCATTTATACTCCTTAAGGACATAAATATGTAAAAGTGAGTTAAAACCATGCTTACTACAGTCGAACACGATTATAGTAAACACTGGATATACTGAACAACATTTTTTCATACGCCACTTTTTTTATTTTTAATCAATCCTGAAAAAGTAAATAAAGCAAATTTTTGATGGTTTATATTCTAAGGGGAACTCAAGTCCGACATTTCCTGTTATCCACTTTTTAGATTTTTTTCTCATAATCTTTCCTTCGACAACCTATTTACGGTTTAAGAGTCACGTTATTTATTTTGTAATCAAAATTCGTGTGTATTCGTTTTTTCGCGGAAATGTTCTATCTTGCTTGGTCGTTCGATGCATCTTGACAAATGTATGCAAAATAACCTAATTTCCTATTTTAATTTGACGTATTTTTCGTCCAAATTGTTGTTATTGGCAATTTTACTTGCGGGGACGTTGTGAACAACAATATGTTTCCTTGCTTTTATTTCTTTCATCAAACCAAATATTGAAAATATTACTGTTTTTTATTCTGAAGTTCCCTACAAAAAACTGATATATCTTGAAAAACGCAAAAATCGCAATTTGAGACCTATTGGAATCAATTTAGAAGGCTTTCATTAATATATTTCAGTTGTCAATAGATCAGACAAATTTAAACATTTTAGTAAAAGTCTATCTAAAATGACTTATGTGTAAAAAATAGACACATTTCTTTTATTATAGTCAACTACGCAAGTTTTGAATCGCTACACAAACGTATTAACAAATATTATATATTAAATAAACAGCACACACCACCGTTAATACTCTCCATGTTTAATTTTTATGCTTATGCTTTGAATTTGGCGGTTTTAAACGTTTTAAAATTAGCCTTGATTTTTAAAATTTTTTTATTTCTTTAATTTTATTTTCAAAATTTAGAGTTTGGCAACAATTTTCACCGCTTTTAAGACACTTTAACGCAAAAAATCTTACAGATTCATACAATTTGACATGTTTTCTTTTTAATGACATCAAAAAAGATTTTATTTTCCAAAATTGAAAAAATGACTTTTTGTCCAAAAAACTGTCCAATTTACCTATTTATTAAATTAAAGTAATTCGGTTAAAAAAACGTGACCAAAAGTTTAAAATACGGAATATTTTGGGGTACATTTTTATGGGAGCTACATCGAAACATTGGCAAATTTTTCGTAGGGAGATTTACTACCCAGTGAGAACCCAAATTACAACTGATAAGGTTGAAAAATGGTGTCCAAAAAATATCGAATATTAGGGGGTACTTTAATTTTTAGTAAGAAAATTTTCAACCCCGTAAGAAACTAAAATACTAAATTACAGCAAATTAGTTTAGAAAACATGCCCAAAATCTTCATAATATATGAGGGCTACAGGAAAAAGTGGACCGAAATATCCCATTTTCAATACCAAACATCCCAGGAGTAATATATTTGAAATATTGGCATCTCTATATTGATTTGAGATTCCATTTCACATTTTCGCTCCCAATGACGTAACATTGAGATTTACAATGTACCTCTTTGCGAGCGAATGTTTTATAAGTAAAATACGTTTTCTGTCTTGTCATCGGCAACAGTGTTGAAACCTACCAAAAACAACCATCGATAAGATAACATCAATATTTTATCACTTATATTCATAATATATATGGGCAATATTGCCAATTTTTTAACATAGCTGAAGCGGAGGTTCACCCCTTTATAACTCGGGAATTACTTAAGTATATGAAAAAAGTGAGTAGTTTTGGGTTAATTGATCTGTCGTTGCAAACTGTTCATGATATTGACCTCCAAACTTCATTTTGGTGGATGCTGTGTCTACTTTAATGTAAAAAAAATGTGTAAAAGTTTTAAGATTTTTTTTCTTATGCTCAAAATTAAAAACTTCGATAACTTTTGCGCGCATCAACCAAAAATTTGATCGCGAACGGTTTCGGAGTCAGAACATTTTTGTCTATATGTGTACCAAAAATCATTGGTATGCCACAAAAACAAAAAAGCTAATTTTTTGAAAATGGAATATTAAAAAATTGGCAATATTGCCCATATATGTATATATATATACAGTGAGTGTAATAAGTATTTTGCCTCAATACAAATTTGAAAAAAATCCAATATATACGCCTTAAGCCAGCATACTAAAGATGTAAAATGAATTATCTATGATGATGTTAATCGGAGATAAAATATTGAATGCGTATTCGCCACCAGCTACCACAGTTTTTCAAAAGACAATAGGGTTTGACGAATAATGATGTTTTCTCCGAACTTCATGTATGGTTTTTTATTTCTACTATTTTAGAACTGTTCATATCTTTGAATCTGACCCCCGTATTGGTATTTCCATCGCATATATTCCTAGATCAATATTACTGGACCATAGCAATTTCAAAGTCAGAAAAATTGGGTTTCGCGATATTTTTTTAAATAATGTGTTTGTCGGATTTTGGTTTTAATAGTTTTTAAGGTTCTCTCCTCGCGTTATATTTTGCAAAACCTCTTGTTTATTATTCTAAACATATTTGGGATGTTTTGAAGCCGCAATGACTATGTTTAATACTCTCATCTTAAGATTAGGACGAAAAAATACCAAATATTAATTGAGATACTGCTGAAGAATGTATTGAATGTAAATTTGAGAAAATACCCACGAAAAAATGCAGTGATGTATTGGAATCGTCGGCAAATCGCTTATAGTATCTGGTTAACCGCAATTGTAACTATAAAAAGACCAAACGTGTTTTATGTAATATTTTTTTCTAAAATAATAATAAAAAGCAAAATACTTTTTTGTGATAAACATTTTTGGTTTGTTATAGATTTCGGCCGATATCTTCGAGACCAATAGGTCTTTCGCAGTGATTCTTGCAGAAATACGATCTAAATATGTCAACAAACATATTCCATCACACATAATTCATTTTACGTCTTTAGTATGCTGGCTTTAGACGTATATATTGGAATTTTTTCAAATTTGTATTGAGGCAAAATACTTATTACACTCACTGTATATATATATGGGCAATATTGACATTATTTTTAATATTCCAAATTACGCCGTTTATTATATTGACCAAAAACTTTGATATAGATCTTCCTCCGTAAAATAAGAACATGCATATATTACAATAATCTCGATAATGTTGCACATCTTCGCGAAATATGCGAAAAATAAAAAATATAGCATATTACATCAATATTTCACACACCTAAAAATTAATTTAAAAATATCTACATAATCTAAACACCATGATGAATCAAATGATATCAAAATCACACAAGTCCGTGTAGCGGTTTGTAAATTACAGCGACAACAAAACAAGATATTGAGGAAAAATATTTGTTTTTGGCTCGAAAAAATAATGTCATCATATTTATTTTTTTTAATTTTATACAAGAAATTTCAGAAAAAAAATGTTGTTATTCTGCTATTTTTCCCGAATTTCGCCGAAAAATTGACATATATAATAATAATCACTTTTTGTGTACAAGTATACGCCTTGCGGATTATATCAAGGCCCTTCCGATAAATCTTAGGGTTCTATAAATATGAATAAATCTTAAAATAAAATAATATTATGAAATATACATTTTAAATTGCGTCTAAATCGCGTAATTCTCAAAATCATTTGATGCGCATGCGGTTTCCAGGAAGTACTGAAGTTTATCTACCAATCCATATATATTTTGCGAAATTTCATTTGACGGCTAAGATGTGCTACATGTTGCATTGAAGTACCTAAAAACTCGTAAAACGCGAATAATTTCCGAAAACTCCATATGCCATTAACGCGCATCCGATTTCGGTGTGCACCCTAAAAAAATACATCGATCTATACCGATTTCAATGTGGTCCATTAAGAACCATGGATGTGCCAGCTCACACTATTTTTGAGATAAATTGGGCACATCTCTCTTTCGGCTGAAGTTTTTAAAGTTCTTTTTTCGAAAAAGATTAAAATCCGTATGAGGTCATTTATTGAAGCAGAAATGATCCACAGAAAACGCAAATAAATCAGCGATATTTTCAAAAACATTTTTTGCCAAATTTCGTGTTTTTGGAAGGCCAGTTCCCGCCGCTCTAGTAGATGGATTTTCACGAAGAAGATTTTATATCATCCGAAACGTAAAAAACCTTATTGATCGCGGGTACCCATATCATTCAGTTGACAGATCTAAAAATTTGGCCCGAAAAATAGGTTTTTTAGAAATTTGATCGCACATAATGTTCACCATTGGATGAGTATTACTCTGAAGCTGTGCATACTGCATACTCAAAATACATATCAAATTACGTAGATTCGCGACTACAATAATCTTATAATCGATTTTTAAAAATTCCTGTTTGCGTATTAAGGGAACCCCCCCATTCTCGATTTTTTATTTTTAAGATTTTAAATGGGCTGGTAAATGAATACCAATGCTTGTTAAGATTTGTAACTTTGCACATATATATTTGAAGATTTAAAGAGGAAGAAAAATAATTTACAAAAAAATTTTGTTGTTGTTTTGTTGTTGTTTTTTGTGATCAAAGAAAAGTCCTTATTTTTGATGGCGGGCATGATAACTCCTCACTGAAACATCGGAATCCGAAAATTCCAACGGTGTTAGAAAGAGTACATGTCTGGCTCTCGTATGAACTAGGATTATTGACTTCGCTCTAAAATTAACAAAATGGCGGACCTTTGAAAAAATATTTTTGGAAAATCGCCGATTTTTTACCAAAAACCAAGTTAAAAAATAAGGAAGATCTTCACCGATTGGCTTTATCCTAGTTCATACGATAGCTATACACTCACAGAGAAACGTGTAAAAATTTGGAATCGATTGGGTTATTAGTTTTTGAGTTATCGTGCCCGCCATTCGCAAAAAAATGTTTAGAGAAAAACGCGTTTAAAGTTTGAGAAGCCCTTCAGCCGTCACTTGATATTGACACAATAAATCGGCTATATCTTCAAGAGTTCTTGAGATTTTTACTTGAAATTTTGCAGGGACATTCTTGAATTAGTGTAGATTGGAATTAAGTCAACAAAAATTTTGACCCCGAAAATGGGGGGGTCCCCTTAAAGCTAGAAGTAAAATTAAAAAACACTTAAAATTGAGCTTCAAAATGTCAGCATCATTTAAAGGTAGATGCAGTTAAAATTTTGAAAAATGATACATAAGGGGCGTAGTCCCCATTTTGTTGGCTTCTAGTTTTACTTTGACACGAAGACCGTGAAATGAGTGGCTTAATCACAAATAGATAGAGAACGTAAAAAAACCGGTTCGCCTCAACCTGTTTTTACACATTTTTTACATTAAAGTAGACACAGCTTCCACCAAAATAAAGTTTGGAGGTCAATATCATGAACAGTTTGCAACGACAGACCAATTAACCCAAAACTATTCACTTTTTTCATATACCTAAGTAATTCCCGAGTTATAAAGAGGTGAACCTCCGCTTCAGCTATGTCAAAAAATTGACAATATTGCCATATATGTATATGGGCAATATTGCCAATTTTTTAATATTCCATTTTCAAAAAATCAGCTTTTTTGTTTTTGTGACACATCTATGATTTTTGGTACACATATAGAGAAAAATGTCCTGACTCCGAAACCGTTCGCGATCAAATTTTTGGTTGATGCGCGCAAAAGTTATCGAGGTTTTAATTTTGAGCATAAGAAAAAAATCTTAAAATTACGCCGTTTATTATATTGACCAAAAACGTTGATATATATCTTCCTCCGTAAAATAAGAATATGAATATATTATAATAATCACGATAAAGTTGCACATATTCGCGAAATATGAGAAAAATAAAAAAATATAGCAGATTACATCAATATTTTCATTATATTAATGACATACACGCACCTAAAAAATAATTTAGAAATATCTACATAATCTAAACACCATGATGAATCAAATGATATCAAGTCCACACAAGTCCGTGTAGCGGTTTCTAAATCACAGCGACAACAAAACAAGATATTGAGGAAAAATATTTGTTTTTGGTTCGAAAAAATAATGTCATCATATTTATTTTTTTAATTGTATACAAGAAATTTCAGAACAAAATGTTTGGGGTTATTCTGCTATTTTACCCGAATTTCGCCGAAAAATTGACATATATAATAATAATCACTTTTTGTGTATAAGTATACGCCTTGCGGATTATATCAAGACCCTTCCGATAAATCTTAGAATTCTATAAATAGTAATAAATCTTAAAATAAAATAATATTATGAAATGTAAATTTTAAATTGCGTGTAAATCGCGTAATTCTCAAAATCATTTGATGCGCATGCGGTTTCCAGGAAGTACTGAAGTTTATCTTCCAATCCATATATATTTTGCGAAATTTCATTTGACGGCTAAGATGTGCCACACGTTCCATTGAAGTACCCAAAAAATCGTAAAACGCGAATAACTTCCGAAAACTCCATATGCCATTAACGCGCATCCGATTTCGGTGTGCACCCTAAAAAATACATCGATCTGTACCGATTTCAATGTGGTCCATTAAGAACCATGGATGTGCCAGCTCACACTATTTTTGAGATAAATTGCGTCTAAATCGCGTAATTCTCAAAATCATTTGATGCGCATGCGGTTTCCAGGAAGTACTGAAGTTTATCTTCCAATCCATGTATATTTTGCGAAATTTCATTTGACGGCTAAGATGTGCCGCACGTTACATTGAAGTACCCAAAAAATCGTAAAACGCGAATAATTTCCAAAAACTCCATATGCCATCAACGCGCATCCGATTTCGGTGTGCACCCTAAAAAAATACATCGATCTATACCATTTCAATGTGGTCCATTAAGAACCATGGATGTGCCAGCAACATCTATTTTTGAGATAAATTGCGTACATCTCTCTTTCGGCTGAAGTTTTTAAAGTTATCTTTTCGAAAAAGATCAACATCCGTATGAGGCCATTTATTGAAGCGGAAATGATACACAGAAAACGCAAGTAAATCCGCGATATTTTCAAAAACATTTTTTGTTTTTGGAAGGCCAGTTCCCGCCGTTTTGGTAGATGGATTTTCACGAAGAAGATTTTATATCATCCGAAACGTAAAAAACCTTATTGATCGCGGGTACCCATATCACTCAGTTGACAGATCTAAAAATTTGGACCGAAAAATAGGTTTTTTAGAAATTTGATCGCACAAAATTCGCACCTTCGGATGAGTATTACTCTGAAGCTGTGCATACTACATACACAAAATACATATCAAATGACGCAGATTCGCGACTACAATAATCTTATAATCGATTTTTAGAAATTCCTGTTTGCGTATTAAACTAGAATTAAAATTAAAAAAACACTCAAAATCGAGCTTCAAAATGTCAGCATCATTTAAAGGTAGATGCGGTGAAAATTTTGAAAAATGATACATAAGGGGCGTAGTCCCCATTTTGTTGGCTTCTAGTTTTATTTTGACACGAAGACCGTGCAATGAGTGGCTTAGTCACAAATCGATAGAGAACATAAAAAACTGGTTCGCCTCAACGTGTTTTTACACATTTTTTTACATTAAAGTAGACACAGCTTCCACCAAAATAAAGTTTGGAGGTCAATATCATGAGCAGTTTGCAACGACAGATCAATTAACCCAAAACTATTCACTTTTTTTCATATACTTAAGTAGTTCCCGAGTTATAAAGGGGTGAACCTCCGCTTCAGCTATGTTAAAAAATTGGCAATATTGCCCATATATATATATATATATTACTAAAGCATTTCGACTTACTCTTCCTTTCTAACATCTGGAACAGAACGATTCACGGAAATCGAATCGGACAATAAGGCATTGAAACCGTTTTCCTTATACAATGTCTCCTCCAATTTCTTTCTCGATTCATCGGTAATATATGATGGCGTTCCATGTTCACCCAAACCCACACGTTTAGCATCGTTATCTATTGCCACATAATCATGCCAATCTCGTTTGGGACCCTTAGGTTCGGGCAATTGAAATGGCACTCTGACATCATAAAACTGCGTAAGGTTGAGTTCACCCTCCAAAATGGGCCTAATATAGGGATGACCATTTATTACAGCAGGACGGGGGCGTCGGGATTTTATCTCCTCATTATCAGATGGGCTATGTAAAAACGGAATATCAGAATGTCGATGATCATGCTTTACATTTCTCTCTAGAACCGATTGATTTAAATTCTCCGACAATTGTTTACTCAAACGTTGTTCAACCACTTTGATGGTAATCACCGTCAGTACAATTAACGTCACAACAAAAACAATGAATTTTCTCAAGAACCGTTTAAAGTGGCGCGGTTGCATTGTCACCAGATTTCTGGAGCGTGGAAGTCACACGGAAATATAAAGACAAGTTATCGATACCATTAACGCAAAATGACTGACGCGCCAACTTCAACAAACAGTTATGTGGAGCGACACATGGAAACCATGATTGCTGTGAAATGTTATTAAATTAAGTGAAGTTTTCCAGCAACGATGTCGGAACAAATTTTTAACATGATTTTGATAAAAAAAAAAGAAATAGATGTTTTCTTATCGCCAAAGATGCTTGATTGTATAAAAAATGTTGAAAATAGATTTATCAATGTACCAGAATGTTGTTGGCCAAAAATAGTTTAATATCACAGATTATTGAAAAATCTTAAAATAATAGAAATAGTAGACATATGGGGTCTCTTTTTATACTTTCGTCCGATTTCATGAAAAGATACACCGGAGACTCTAAGTCTGCCTGATAGACATGAAATTTTGCATAGATTTCAGAATGACATGTGATGGATTGATTAAAATAGGTATTTATATATCTCGAATTTGATGTGCAAAGTTTAGATCAAATCTGAGACTCCCTTGCGCCAGCAGCACGGGGACTATAAATTGTCAGAAACTGATTTGGCCCGATATTTCGATGGGACATATTTTTGTCCTATCATTAGTGTTAAGGCTAAGGGTATAAAATATTATCATTTACAAAAGAATACATAACAATTTGGATAATCGTCATCGAAATAAAGATAATGACCGTCATTTAAGTGTCCTTGCTTCAAATAGTTTTATAGGCATTTCACAAAACTCCTCTCTTCCCTCCTGCGAATGTGGTATAAATGATAGCGACGACAACGATGAGGATGATGACGATGAATGAAGGCAAATCTTCAAGTAATTTCCATTATTAACATTGGCAAAATCATAGACCAATGAATCGTAACAAAAATCCGGCCGGCATGAATGGTAATGACGGCAAAAGGCAATAGTTTCTAAGTAAGAAACACTAACAATCGTAAAAATACCCAATCACACAATAATCAAAGAATGGGGCGGAACAAAGGGTGAGAGACGCAGGAAACCACCAACACCAGTCGGCAAAGAATACAAGGAAAGCAAAATAAAAGAGACCAAGGATAAATAATACGTTGACTTTTGTAGCCAATTGTCGCCTTTGTAATGATTATTAGACACATTTCATATTTCACGACGGCATAACAAGCAACCGTCCAAACGTCCGAGCAACGTTCCTTTCATCTATGCAAGAATGGACAATTTCCTTAAATTTTCATTTGTCATAAAAGAAAACTTGATTTCGCATTACCCCGTAGTTTGTTTGCCATTCCTCCTCACAACACAACACCAAATATGAATGAATGGAAATATAAAAAAAAAATGGGGAGAAAAAGGACAAAAATAATTTCTTTGATATTGCTTATGATGATTGTTATGATAATTGTGATTTTTTACAAGACTGTTCTTGCGTCACCAATTTTCTTTTTGATTATAATGGGGTCGTCGGTCATAACTCTTTTTTCTCCATAACAATGGAATTGATTATAAACCCCCTGTAATAAGGCATATTTGAAAACAGAGACAGACATTGAAAACAAAGATTGCAATCAGAATTGTAACCTAAAAAATAAAAGTGAATACTTATTATAACTCGAAAGAAAGCATTGTAAATAAGAATGATAATATGGAATCGTAATACTGAAATGAATGAAACTATGCTATAATAGCGAACACCCTACCAAAATTCGAGCTCCATTCATTCCCAATCTACTAATTGCACTAATTTAGTAACATTCTTCAACTCACTACCTATTGTACTAACCTTCGAACACTTTGTAAATATTTTAACAGCCAGCTCCTTACCCTATTAGCAATGTTATCACCTCTTTAGTTACTTTTTAACATAGAAGAGTTTCCTGTACGATGTGTCAATGGACTTTCATGATTAAGATACAAGGCTCCGACACCAACCCCATATTTATAACCTTCATCACACTGTGGTAAAGGGTATTAGGGTTTTGTGTATATTATATGTTTGTAACACGCCGAAGGAAATGAGATAGTCCAGCATTTATTTTTGACGATCTACATAGAATCACTTTCTGAGTCGATTCTGTAAGCCCTTTTGACCATTGTTTTATTGTAGAAAGAATCCGAATGAGACGAAATTTTTTACTTATTAAGCTAAAGGTCGAACTCTTTTGGGTAAAATCGGTTCAAATCTATTTGTAGATCCCATATATAGTTTCCTCAGGTTTTACAACAGTGCAGAAAAGTGTTTGTCAGATTGGGACAACATTTTTCACAGCGTACCGGATGGAGCCTAAAATGTCGTATATAAAGTTCAAATTTAGATATACCTCCCATATATATGTTCGCCCGATTTGATGTAAACGGTATATAAAACTACCAATGTTTGTCTGATTAAAACGAAATTGTACATAGCGTATCGTATAGAAAATCGGCTCAGAATTAAATTTTTATACCCTTCACCACACTGTGGTACAGGGTATTATGTCTTTGTGCATATGTTTGTAACAGGCAAAAGGAAACGAGATAGACACATGGTTCCTTTTGAGAATATGCATAGAATCACTTTTTAAGTCGATTTATACATATCCGTCAGTCCGTCTGTCTGTCCATGTTAAATTGTAAACAAAGTACAGGTCGCATTTATGATCCGAATTGGATGAAATTTGGCCCAAGGACGAACCCTATTGAATTTGGGAAAACTCGGTTCAGATTTAGATATAGCGCCCATATATATTTTCGTCCAATTTTATGTAAATGGTGCACCAAAGTCCCTATATATCCTTCGATTTGCACGAAATTTGGCACAGTGTACTGAATTATGTCTAGAAACATGTGTCTTAAATTTCGTGAAAATCGGTTCAGATTTAAATATAGCTCCTATATATATTTTCGTCCGATTTTATGTAAATGGTGCACCAAAGTCCCTATATATACTTCGATTTCCAAGAAATTTGGCACTGTGTTCTGAATTACGTCTAGAAAGATGTGTGCTAAATTTCGTGAAAATCTGTTCACATTTAGATATAGCTCCCACATATATTTGTTTCCGATTTTATGTAAATGGTGCACCAAAGACCCTATATATCCTTCGATTTGCACGAAATTTGGATTTATAAGTAAATTAAGAACTCAAAATGTGGAACACTGGAATAAGTGTAACCTAACATGTGACAAGTTTCAATGAAATCGGTTTAGATTTCGATATTTTGCTTTAAATTTATTTACATAATTTTGTCCCATTGTAAGAAAAAACTCTATATCTGCCCAAAATTTAGTATAGGTTCCAGAAGTACATGTTTAATTTCATGTTAATAGTCCTTCAAAAAATGCGACATCTGTTAGGATTCCATCTGTTGAATATACCCAAAGTGGTGAAGGGTATTATATAGTCGGCCCCGTCCGACTTTACTATTTTCCTTACCGGTTATTTTCGTCGTAACTAACTTTGCAGTTTTTATTTCTGCAGTGACTGCATTAATAGTCTTTAAATTTCTTATTTATGCTAAGAACAAGAAGAAAAAATGACAAATGTAGTCTTTCTTTGTATTTTTAGCCGTTACTTCACGTATTTAAGCACAGTTAAAGAAACAAATTCTTCGACTTTGGTTTACCTTTTTCCGGAAATGCCCATATTTTTAGCGGATACTTATCTAAATGGTGCATTAAATACCCATTTTTTCCGATTGCGATAAAATATTGCACTCCAATGTGTTAAGTTTTAAGTTTCGTATAAATCGGTTCAGATTTAGATATATCGTCTATATATTTTCACCAGTGTTCACCAGAATGGCATGACATTAAATTCGGACAGGCGTCCGGCGTCATTACCATCTGGCTCATCCGACAGTTTGAGGAATAATTGAATTTTCCATGTCGCAACTACTAGCCCATGATTCGATATAATCCCCAGAAGCAGATATGGATCATCGATAACTGAGTCAAACAGCTTTTTGAAAGCGATATCAACACTACGCTATCTTTGTTCGGCACTGAGACAAAACAAAAGGTTCTCAAATTAAATAGATGTAAACAAAATAAGCTATCTTGTAGGGATTCGTAAGATATATTAGTACCATAATTAGGAGGAAATATTTTCTAAACAGACATTAGGGTTTGGGTTTCGATTTATATTTCAAACTGTTATGTTTGTAACAATGAACATCTCTCAAACTTGTTTAATGTAGCCGATACTAAAATATAGAAGAAATCCATTCACTGTGCATTTGGTGGAGCAACGAGGTGGAAATAAAATGTGTATTGCAGTAGCCACTCCTACAAATATTTTCAAATACGACATTGAAAATAATACCAATTTTTGTATACGATAATAGTCTCCAGTGGAATTTCTGTGTTTCTACTGAATAATTGCATTATTCCGCTTTTAAGCTTTAGAATTGCTATCAAAGTCTCCTTAGATATTCATTTATGAACAATAAATCACATAATAATGGATTTCACGTTTCAAAGAAGAAATAATTATAAAAGAAACCCCCATTGAAAATGCTAAATGTTGAGCTATTGTTTTCATGTAATTTCAAAAGAAAGGACAATTTTCTTAAACAAAATTTCCATTAGGGAAAACGTGTTACTCATTACTCCTGCTGCGCTAATAACGTTTAGACCAATTTGGAGCTTTTAACTTTAGTTGTTCTTGAACGTAACATTGAAACAATGAACATTAGTGTATGGTTGTTGATGTTGCTGCCCATTATCATTTTCCATTCGGAAAAAATTAATGCGTTTCATAATTTCGACGTCCAACAGAATTCATACCAATGGCTTCTATCATCATCATCGTCGTCATGGCCAGCCACTCGCATCACTCATGTTTAAGGATTGTCAGAAGTTGTTTCAGCTTCAGCGTTCATGCGACAAAAGTAATTTCCTGCAGTCATTTTTCATGCACCATTATCTTCATTTTATTTGTTATTTAAAGTTTTTTAACTTTTTCTTAAACACATTTACCGAAGACAATCGACGTTGCTTGTCCCTTTTTCCCCCCTAACCACCACCCACTCACAAGTATTTAAAGGACACTCTCCATCACATACCCGTGTGCACATACACAATATCATATACTAGCTGCGTTTGCCAGCCGGACATGTCTTCGTGTGCGTGTGTGCCTGTGTAAATTGATGTAAAGTCGCTTAGCCAAGAAAATAAAAACAAAAAAGGATGCTGTCACAACTTATTAGCATGAATGCACTTTCCAACGCCAGAGAACATTTCAAACAAACTTACCTACTCCTTTCCGGTTGTACTCGTCTCTGACAGACTGCTAGTATTCAACGATTAAACTTCTGGCTGCCAAGTGAATGGAAATGATTTCAATCTAAAGTATTTTAAAAGTCGTTTTACGTGGTCTGTGCGAAAGTTGGCAGCGATGATTGTTCTCGTTTCCTTATCCATTCATTCATTCAACAGTTTAAATTATTACACATTTTATTAAAAATCATTGCTTCCCATAAATTGTTACTTACACTTGTTTCGTTCAGTCATCCGTTTTTGATTTTGGTGTCATGAAAGAGATTTATTTGATGTCTGCAGATTTTGGAACATTAGTTACAGGAATTTGTTGATTAAGACATCAATAAGATTGATTGGTGACACATTTAGACATCGAATTTGTTTGACAGATATAAACAAATTTGTTTTTAACCAAATAACACTGTGACACAAAGTGGAGTTCAAAGTTCTTTATATGATGAATGCCCTTGGCGAGTATAACAAATTCGCCAAGTCATAAGGATTTTTTGCTGGCAACTTTAAAGTTCATGAAGTGTATATAATTGTTTCAATAAGCATGGATAACCTACTACTATATAATGCAATAACAAATAAAGGTCCCAACCGATTTAAAAAGTTTTTAATGCACCCCACGTGGTGAAGGTCAAATCGAATGAGAAATATTTATGTAAAATATATTATCTGTCTATCTAGACTCCTGGTAACTCATATTCGTCCTTGTTTTCTTGAACCGAAAACCAAATATTACGAGGCAAGATTTTTGACCTGGTGTACGTACATGCATCCGTTAAAAAGTTTTAATATGACCTTCTGACCAAGCTGTACATGTGTGATCATTCTCCCTGGCATGTCTCTTTTCCTGAAAATGATTTTCCATATTGTTATTTTGGGGTTGTAAAGAGAAAACTACAAAAAAATTAATGGTGTTTGTCTGTTGGACGAAGTTATGTCAGAGATGGTTAGAGTATATGACCCCTACCTGGTGTTTACAGGACCGTAAATACAAAGCGTCAACTAACATCCAGACACCAAAGTGCAGGTACCAATCGATCACACGTATTTCGATGTAATCACTTCCTTGGATGAGAAGTGGAGCCCATCTAAAGCTCCTGCCTTTCTATGGGTCAGGCAAAATTCATAATTTCGATTACTGGTGGAAAGCTCAATGTCCCCAATTGATAACAGATCCCATTTGTGGCCATAATTAGAGCAGTGGGTTTATGAAATAAAGAAATATCACATATATGAGTTTCGAGGACGCTGATTACTGTTCTGCACGAAAACGATAAACAAATAATGGGATGGGTCGAATACGACTGTCAATTTGTTTAAAAGTTTAATTAATGAAATTATTTTTGAAAACGTTTTGTAGGTCTATGGCCCCTAATTGCAAATGTGAAATCAGATTTTGAAAATCAAATAAAATATATTCAATATGGCGGATCTAATATAAGAAAAAACTAAATATTTAATTTCTTTGCAGTATAATTAATTATCATTTTTGCTAAGAATATGTGCTACACAATGCGAACTTAAAACACCAAATTACAGCTAATTTTGTTGAAGGTGAGGATAATTTCTTCCGATTTTATTATCAGCAGGCTATGTTAGTAAAATTCAATTTTAATTTTTTATGCAATTTTAAAATAAGATTTTCAACGAATGTTTTTATATTATTGCTAATACCTCTTAAGTTTATGAACGATCGCAGACGGTCGCATAATTCTGAACTACTATTAAATATTAAATATACACCTAAGTCTGTTTTTACACGGTCTTTTTGTACACGGTTTTGATATAGCGCGGTTTGAAAATTGAATATTTTTAATTTTTTTGACGATTTTATTCCATTTAGAACGATTTGAAATTTTATGTACTTAATTTTTTTTTTTTTTTTTGGTCAAATTTAATTTTTGCGAAGTATGTTCATATCACAAAAAAGTATTTATGAAAGAAAAATTCAATTTTAATTTTTTATGAACACTTTTTAAGATTTAAAATTTTCGCGTACAAACAATTTTTACTTAAAGCAAATGTGAATAGCACTAATTTAGGGGAATTCCCTTTATGTATAAGATCAATGTCTTTTTTACACGGTTTTTTTTACACGGCTTCTTCTGGAACCAATCTACCGTGTAAAAACAGACTTAGGTGTACTATTAAAATATCCTCTGACTCTGCTTGGCACTAGGTTCTGAAACACATTTTTAATGATATTTATGAGTTTTTATGCAGATTTCAAATATATATGGTTTCATCGGCTCCACCTGAAATTGACTTTTTGCAAAACTTGGATTCGTGGCCCATAATGAGTCCTGGGGAATTTGAAATGTACAATATTTTTTCGTCTCTACTTTTTGCCAAAAGTGCACCTCCTCACTAAACGGTGATTCCGTAGACTTCCGCAAACCAAATTAGCATACAAAAGTCAGGGTAAATATACGTCATAGGCAAAGGATATATTATATATCTGTCGGCAAAACCGGCTGACACTTTTTTACTCGCTCAATCTAATGTTGGATACATTGGAAATACATATTACTGATAGGTTAAACTATGTCATTCCGGATTAAAAATATACCCCACTGAAGAAAGTATTATTTCTCAAAATGGCCCCATTTGATAAACATGCCATTCCTTGATGTTCGGGTCATATATGCTATGGATGCTATATAGAAATTGAATCGATTTAACCCTACGATCAATAACCAAAAAATTATACGTACATCAACAACCGTGATACATTTGTACCCATCAAAAGATAGCTCTGTAATTCATTAAAAAATTGGACTATCGTGATGTTTTTTGTTTTAAATTAGTCTATACGGATCTGATCTAGATGTAGGAACTCGAAATTATATATGTATTAAAATAATATATATTTAAATCCATTCTTAAATGATAATCTATCTAAAACAATTATAGTAAATTCGTTATAGCTTTCGAATGGGTTAAGCTCTTATAGTTATTTTTATTGGGATCTTATTTAGGTGTTCCCCAACGCCTCTGCAAATTTTTGTGGCCCTATACAACATGGGGCCATCAGGGCGACTCGTGGAAGTCAGAAACTACCTTACTTTTCCTTTGGTATACAGGGTTAATGGTTAATGTCGACTTAAAAAAATCGTTATGCACTTAATTCGGAAATCCATGCAAATATGAAAAACGTTGGGTTTTCTGTGGGCCGTTTACGTGAAATCGGACGAAATTTTATATAAGAGGATTATATAAATTGATTTTATGAAAACTTGGCACAAATCTTTATAGACTCAATGCAGTACCCTATGTCAATTGCATCCATCTCATTTGGATAATAAATGCGAATTTGTTTACAAAAAATATGTGGACATTCATAAATCGACTAAGAAAGTGATTCTAAGCGTATTATCAAACGTAACTATGATTCTATATTGTTTCCATCTTCGAGAAACGTCTGGACAAAGATATAAAATCCTATACCTTGTATAGGGAATATAAAAAATACCCTAACATTTATCTATATATAAAAGAGCTTAGTGTTAAGTGAGTGAGTGAGTGACTGACTGACAGATCATCGCCCAGACGAAACGGCTAAAGCTAGAAGCTTGAAATTTTGAGTGTGGGTTGGTGTTGGTGTGTAGGCGTGAGATAAGGCTGGGTTTTTGGAAATTCGAACTAGAAGGGTACGAAAAGTACTAAAATGTACCAAATATGGTACCCTTTGTATTAGGCGAAGGGGAAGAGCTAGAATTCTGAAATTTGGAATGTGGGTCACTGATGTAAAGTTAGGAAGATGTACAAAAGCGTTTTTGGAAATTCGTACTAGAACGGTACGAAAAGTACTAAAAAGTACTAAATGTGATACCATTTGTATTTGACGAACCGGTAGAGCTAGAACTCTGAAATTTGGATTGGTGGTCGCTGAGTGTAGGATATATGTATCAACGGGTTTTTGGAAATTCGAACTATAAATATCCGAAAAGTACTAAAATGTACTTAATTTTGTACAATTTCGTACCATGTGAATTGATAGAGCTAAAAACTTGAAATTTGGAATGCGAATTAGGGATGAGATGTAGAGTCCATTTAAGGAGATGGTTTTGGAAGCGTGTACTCATGTGTACGAAAAGTACTATATGATACTATATTTGGTACAAATTTAATTTGGAGATAAAAATCGAGCTGGAATCCTGAAATTTGAAATTAACATTAGGAGTTGGACATCTGAGTGTAGGATTGGGAATGTACGTAGTTTTGGAATTTTTTTACCCAGTTTCAGTAATTTATATTCATGGGTACTAAATGGTACTAAATTTGGTACAATTTGAATTTTATGCGAACCAATAGAGCTAGAATCATGAAATTTGGAGTCAGGATAACTGTTGGGGTGTAAGATCGAGATATGTAGGAAGTTTTAACAATTTTTACTAATGTGTACTAAATTTGGTACAATTTGAATTGTGGGTGAACCGAGAGTTGGAATCATAAATCTTGGATTTAGGATCAGTCTGGGGGTGAAAGTTTGGGTTAAGTGGGACGTTTTGGAAAGTCGTACTACTGTGTACTAAATTTGGTACAATTTGAATTGTGAGTGAACCGAAAGAGTTGTAATCCTGAAACTTGGATTTAGCATCTCTGTTTAGGGTAAGTAAGAAGTTTTCGAAATTCGTACTACTGTGTACTAAATATCGTACAATTTGAACTGTAGGTGAACCGATAGAGTTGGAATCCAGAAACTTGGATTTAGGATCACTGTGAGGGTGTAGGATTGGGGTCTGTAGGAAGTTTTGGAAATTCGTACTACAGTGTACTAAATTTGGTACAAATTGAATTGTGGATGAATCGATAGAGTTGGAATCTTGAAACCTTGATTTAGG